ATAATAATAATAATAATAATAATAATAATAATAATAATAATAAAAGAATACTCACCTAAGAATAAAAATGAGCGTGCGCGAGACAGGAAGAGGGAAAAGTTGCAAAGAATGAACGGATTGAGGAAGTTGGAAATAAAGAGAGTTTTGAGAAAAATTTGAGAAAGTAGTGAAAATCGGTTTGAAGTTCTTATTTTCTAATTTAATTTAATAAATCATATTAGGAATTGAAGATGTTATCAAATTGAATTTGTTTAATTCTCAAAAATTCCCGCTGCTATATATTTTATTTAGTCCTGGAAATGAATTCCTGACGCCACATATCGTCGAAAAATTTGTTTATTTTTTTTAACATTATTTTATTTTAAGGAAACAATTTTGCGACGTCTAAGTGCGTCAGGAAGTTTTTTGGAAATTAAATTCCCGACACCATGTAGCATTAGGAAATTATATCTGAAATCTAAAAGACATTCTGACGCTATATGGTGTCGAGCATTTAAATCTTTAAACCTTCTTGACGCTGGTAGGCGTCAGGAGATTTTTGGTCAACGACTTCCTACAGAAAAATGACCAAAAAAGCTTACTGACACTATTTTTTTTTGAAATAACGTCGATAAGTGTTAATATTTTTGACGATATAAGCATCGAGAACTATTAGCGTCGGTAATTCCACGTTTTCTTGTAGCTAGAATTACTCGAGGGAAGGTGATTTGTTACTGCCGCAAAAAGCATAGGGAATTTTATAGTAGTTAACCAAATATATCTCCATTTACTCTGTGGCAACTTGTGATTGATTGGAGGAGGAGACTTGAGAGTGATGGCAGTTTCTCGTCTGTAATTGTGAAGTACCCTTTTTTTTTTGTTTTGCCTTTTTCACGGGGTTTCCTTTGACATTCGAAAGAGAAAGAGACATCATGAATGTATGCACATGTGATCATGATCGAGGACAGAATGTTCAAGGAACATATGGCATTGCATGGTTGTGGACCAGACTCGTCATCGGTAAAAGAATAAATTATCTCCTTTTGTCATGACTTTTCTTTAGTTTTGGTATCTTCAAAGTAGGAAAAGAAGAATCTATCGGGACCCCATCATGGTCAAAAAGAGAGTCCTGCTGACATTCTCCATACTTGCAAAGTCAAACAGTAACCCCTCCCTTGAATGAGTGGGAAAGTAAATCATAAATGCCTTGTTTGGTTCGCCGTTCGAATGGTAGTGATTTAATTTGATTTATAAAATTTGAATTGTCATGATTTGAACTGTGATTCAAACCGGTGTGTAGATATACAAATTTAAATTCTTCAATTCGGGGTTAGGAGGGTCAATTCTAAAATTAAAGGTTTAAATTGTTCTCATTTAGTTCTTTACCAAACATCACTTTGAATCTTTAACTACCATTTGAATTGAATTTTTAGGTTAAAAACAAACATGGGCAAAATTTGTAGATAGGATTCTGCACATTGATAGTCATCACTAAATAGTGATTATCACCATAACTTTATATATATATATATATGGATTTTATTGTGCTTTTGAAATTATTACAGAATGCATTTTTTTAAGTAAATGATGATAGACAAATTAATGTCAGAGTCAATTAGATCAATGGAAAATAATGAGCCTCCCAATAGTAAATAAATTTCAATTTAAGTTATTATCACTCACTGTAGTATATATAAATATTCATGAACAAGATCAAAATTGTTGAATATTTACAATACGATGAGTGATAATGACCTGAGCTGCAATATGTTATAAGACTAGGATGAATCACTAGCGGGTGCCTACATAATTAGGATGTTAACAAGAGTATCCTTTATTAAATCCTCCACTCTAATGACTAATTAAAAGAGGAAACAAAATAAAGTACAAGAAAAATAATAAATTTGTCCAAATTAAAGACAAACTTACAATAGAAACAAGAAAACGAATGTAGCTCCATCTAGCTACCAGAGGCTTCCGAGAACGGATTCATGCATAGTACCGACGCGAGTAGCTATTATAAAGTACTACTTTTTATTATTATTATTATTATTATAATTTTCTGAAGGATCGTGTAAACAGTATAATTTAATGGCATTTAGAGACAAGGACAAAGAAGCTAAGATTAGCGATCAGCTTGAGAAAAATCTTATCCCTGCAACTGGATATCCTTTTGGCCGAAAGTAAGGAAGATAATTAGCTTTGATAGATAATCATGAATTTTCCCAGCGCTTGCTTTATCATCTCCTATAGCTCACAACTACCGCAGACATGACACCCACAAGCTGTTTCCCGCATATACGTTTAATTTTGTCATATCAGCCACCATATATCTGTTCTCTCTCTCTCACTTTTTTTTTCTTAATGCGAAAGCAAGTTGGAGATGCCATTTAATAAGAAAATCATGTACAAGGTTTGCTGTTCATATGTATGCTGTTTGACACCACAAAAACACAATCCAGGTGTCAAACATTCAAATAATCCACAAATTCCACAGATTGAGGGATTATACCTTCCTAGGTTACAGATACTTGGCCGCATTTAGTTTACAAATTTAAAGAGAAGTTTAAATTTTATGAGAAAAAATACTGTAATAAAAAAAATTAAATAATAGTTTGATTCTATGAAATAAACAAGGGTGTTGTTTTCTTCATTCTTTTCCATAAAAAAAAAAAGTTTTTTCTTTTCTTTTATTATTCGTTTTGTGAAATGAAAGTGAAAGGCCTTTTTCTCAAACTGCAATGAATCTTTTTACGCAGGAAAAAAAAAAAACCCCAATCAATAAAGGCATAGAATCCAACCAAACTAATTAAAGTTAATAGGACTAGACTTGGCAACACTAGCTAGAAAAAGTAAGATAAGCTTCCTTACACTAGTACAAATATAGAAGACAGTTTTAACCATCATTAAAAGATACAACGATAATTAGTGTAATTGTTTAGAGTCGTCAAATTATATTCAAGACATACTACAACGGTGCGTATATATTTTTGAAACACAGAAATCTATATACCGCTTTTTTTATACATTAGACCAAGTTTTTTTCATACAAATATTGTTAAATAGGCTTCGTTTAATCTTCAATTTGTTCTAATGTTAATGAAAAGATAGTAAACATAGGTACTTTAAGCTTGAATAATGACGTCCTTAATGTCATAGATAATACAATCTCGTGAGAGCGGGGCTTCGGAGATCGAGTAGCTCGAGCCAACATGTCTTTCTGTTTAGGAAAGACACAAAGAACAAGAAAGAAATTTTAATGTAACATGTACGCGCACAATGCAAAGGAATCGTTTGCTAATTAAAATGCAAAGAAAAGGACGTGGATCTGAGAAGTAGAGCATCAATGACAGTTAAATGACCCCATGCATTTCCTACTTAATGAATTTTTGTTGAGCTAAGATCATTTCAGAATTCAGTTTTCGAGTTTCAAATTTTGTTATAGAAAAATAATATAGTAAAAAGGTTTGAATTATAACTCAAATTTATGAAATAAATAGTCTTCCTTTTGTTTATTGCAATTTTAATTGAGCTCCAAATTCTGCTGATATTTCATCAAATATTTCTTCCTAAACAAGTTTTTTTTGTTTTGTTTTGTTTTTGTTTTTTTTTTTTGCTGATGTTCACATGGTCTATTGCCACGCAAAAACTGCGTCCCTATTGCTCCTGTTGACACGTAAGTGCTTGTTGCAACCCTCAGACGGTGGTGTGTTTTATTTTATTTTATTTTATTATGTGAGTAGAACCCTCGGACGATATAATATATATTATGCCAGGAAGCATATTCTAAAGAATTCTCTCTTTCCAAAGGTATTACAAACAAACAAATTGCAACCTTATGCAGTGGTCATCTAACCTAGAATAAAGAGAGGGAGAAAGAGAGATCATAGATCAGAAGGTAGCTAGATCAATATTCCTTTTTGATCAATATGGTGGACCCCAACATTTCTGGATCACTACGAATGTTCTCTAATAATAACGGTTGAACCATTGTTATTAGCAAAAAAAAAATAAAAAAGTTGAACCATTGGTAAAAATAATTAACCTAAGCTAGCTAGATATATACGTGAGACAAAATTTGGCCGGCCTTAAGGAATCATCTATCTTGCAACTTGAAACTCATATATTCTCTCCTTTCTGCACTTCTATAAATACCTTCAAAAACCCTTACTTTCCTCCTCAGAGCCCTCCTAGTCTTAGCCATATAGTACTAATTGTCCTATACTATTTATTCACTTCTTGAAAACTAGTATTCTACAAACTCCAACCAATATGGACAGTTATATCAGAGAGACTCCAGAAACTCTGAGGTTTTAAATATTCCTTTCTCTATCACACACACAAATTACGCATTCTCTAGATCTTATCATAGTGTTACAATTATATTATAAACTAAAGTTTTTTTTTTTTTTTTTTCAAGTAATAACAAGTAATTTTAAGTACTGATTATTAGTTTGACATGATCTGACAATAATCTGTCACGTGAATTTACCAGGAACAAGTGTGCAGCATGCTTTAGACAGTTTAACAAATTGGAGCATCTTGTGGAGCACATGAGGACATCATACCACTCCGTTCATGAACCCGCTTGCGGCATCTGCAGGAAGCACTGCAGATCTTTCGAGTCTCTGAGGGAACATCTTATAGGTAACATGTAGATACACACATATATATACACATATTTATTATATACATGTTTACGCACGGTACAAAATTCTCAAGTAGCTATACAAGTTTTAGTGCTGATTACTATAGTTTGATCATCTCGAGTTCACAGATTATATTGTACGAGTGGGAGATTTACTTAAATATATTTCTTTTTCAGGGCCATTGCCAAAACAAGAATGCAGAAATATATTCAGCACGAGAGGATGCAGATTCTGCTTGGCCATCTTCGACAGTCCTTATGCCCTCAGGATTCACCAGGACCGGTGTCAACTATCCGGTTTAAACGGCTCCGTAATGATCGAATATCCTTAACTAGTTAGACCTTTTTTTTCTTTTTTTTTTCACATACAGAATATTAAGATCGAGTCCAAAAATCCTAACAAACAATTTTCGTATGTATAGGGGGTGCTTGGTCGGTTGTCTAATTTAGGAATACGTGACAATTTAGCAATGGATTATAGCGGCAGATCAACAAGAGGAGGCGCAGGGCCCCAAGTGGTTGCACTGGCTTGCAAAATGGTTGGTGGTGGCAGCGATGGCTCCCTTGATATATGCGCAAGGGTTTGCCTCATTGATGAATTCGAAAACATCATCTTTCATTCTTATGTCAAACCTCCTATTCCAGTCACAAACTACAGGTACTATAGTTCATCATCCTGCATCTTATATGTATGTACTATAATGTCTATAGACACATATATACATATGTTATAATCACACACACATATATATATATATATATATACATATACGTATGTATAATTGCAGGTATGAAACGACTGGAATTCGTCCGGAATATTTAAGGGATGCTATGCCGGTGAGACAAGTGCAAAAGAAGATTCAAGACTTCCTGTGCAATGGGGAACCCATGTGGAAGATTCGACCCAGATCAGGTGGAAAAGCTAGGATTCTTGTGGGTCATGGTCTCGATCATGACCTTGACCGTCTTCAGCTTGAATATCCTTCTGTTATGATAAGGTTATTAATTAATTAATTAATAATATTATTTACTAAATCCTTTTCATTAATGTCCCTAGATCAGTTAATTAAATTTGAATACTACTCCTCTTCATCGTATGAGTCTGTAGACTGATTTTAATTTAACAAATTCAGGGATACTGCCAAATATCCTCCATTGATGAAAACAAGCAAGCTTAGCAACTCACTTAAGTATCTGACACAAGCATATCTTGGGTAAGTACTCTAATATAGATATTATATTAGGGAGAAAGAGGGAAATAAGCCAAGACTTGAGATGAATTAAAATTAATAGGCTAATAGTTTACATAAGTTAATAAATAGGCCAAATTACTGTTTTCGTCCATAACTTGTTTGGTTATGAACCATAATTTGACAAGTTTATCCATAACTTATCTAGTTATGAACCATAACTTAACAAATTATGACCTATTAATTTTTATAACTAAAAATTGGCCTATATACTTTCTTAAATTTTTCATATTGGCCTATTTCCTACTATTTCCCATTATATTATTATATCTGGCTATTATTTATAAATATAGATATTAGTATTATTAGTAACATTAATAAAGCAAGTTCTATATGTAATATAATATGTAAACTAGATTAGTTTTTATTATTGTTTATCTATGTGTTTAGGGGCAGAATAGTTTTTTACTTATTTACTAAACTATATGAACTTTATATTTCTAATGTATTATTTTCAATTAGCAATTCAATAAGAAACTCTAGCCTCTGTTTCTCTCAGTTTTGTTATCGAAATTCACGACACGCAGGTACGACATTCAAAGTGGCATTCAAGATCCTTACGAGGATTGCGTGGCAACGATGAGGCTTTACATGAGAATGAGATCACAGAACCATCGAGTGGAGGACTATCCATTGGCTTCTGATCCTCAAAACCGAAATAACTTCGCGTCATGGAGACAAACTGAGCTTGAGAGAATGACTCCTGAACAAATGCTGGAAATCTCAAGGTCTGATTACTACTGTTGGTGCTTGGACTCCAATTGAGTTATTGATCCGAGAGATGAGGAGCTACACAAAATTAAATCTCTGTCCGCGGATTATTTAAATTATGTACTATATATTTAAATTTATGATTATGAATAATAATATATATTAAATAAGAAGGAAGATTCATAGGTTATTGTACGATCCTATATATGTAAAGCAGTAGCTATGTGTGAACTTAATTCATGTAATATATACGAATCATGAGTCATGACATATGATGTATACATGAATTTATTGGTGCTTTGATGATTGAACGTGGAATTGTATTACAATTAATATATATATATATATGTATATTCTTAAGCTTTTGCAGTGTCGACTAAGTACGCTATAATTAGAATTCTAATATGGTGATTAAATACAAATGCACATATACACATACATATATGTGTGTGTAGACACACACACGCATTTTAGATATAGAATAGTGGAAATTCAAATACCCCTTTGAAAGTGTATGGCTCGAAATTTCTAACTCTTTCTCTTAATCAATAACCTTTTTAGTTAAATAACTATACTAGCAAAATGGTATTAATCAAGAATAAAAAATTCAATCCCGTGCACTTTTAAAAGTAAATTCTATAATTTTCTCTATATTTCTCTATATTATTATTTATTCTATATTATTAATTTATTATATTAAGGAGGTCATTAACCAAGGCTAACTTCTATATGATTGACACATATTCGAATTATCTACTTACCATGTTTTAAGTTTTTCTACTTCATTGTATATATGCACACGCGCACAGAATAAAATGCAGCGTCAGATAATTTTATTTATCTTCCTTTTTTGTGATTGAAGAGCAACTTACAAAAAAGAGAAGCAAACAACTGTCTGTTGGCACTGGACTGTGTGACACATGATTTGCCCTGCGGGAAAAGGTAAAGCTAGAAGCAAGGGAAAAAAAAGAAAAGTAAAAGGTGACTTGGGAGGTGGTAATTATAGGTATGGAAGGGAAAGCAAAGCAATGCCAGGCCCCGTTCTCTCTCTCTCCAAGTAAAAAACTTTACAACAAACAAAGGAGAAACAATTAAATAAAGCCTGTTTTCTTCTCACCTTCCTTGACCTGGGGCTTGGGCTCTCTCTCTCTCCTTCTCTCTCTCTATGATTGAGTAAACCAGACAAAGCTTTCCTTACTGTCCATTCCTTCATCTTCATCACCATCTACCTTTGAGAGTCTCTCTCTCTCTCTCTCTCTCTCTCTCTCTCTCTCTCTCTCTTACCATGTTTTAAGTTCTTCCTTCGTTAATTATAACAAGTCATGGAATTTATAGTACGATATATAATTAATTAAAAACACGCCATGACATAGCAATACATGCACACATATATAGTTAATCAATAGAAAGCCAAAGTGATTTGCTTTCTAAGTACTCATGGGATGGGATACACTAGGACTTTTCCAGTGGCTCTGCCAGTTTCGAGGTAGGAAAATGCTTCAATTGTCTTAGAGAATGGATATGGTCCTTTTGGGTCAATTACTGCCTTCAATTTTCCACTCTCAAAGTAAGGATTCAGCTTCTCAAGAACAGATGCACTTGAAACGAGAGTGAAGAATATTGCTTGTGGAGCCACAGGCACACCATCTGCTATTGTCACAACTTTCCCGCCTTCTTTCACGGCCTTCACAGCCCTCTCAGATTGCCCTTTTATGAGTTTTTGTCATGCAAATATACAAATATAGATGTCATATTCTTCATCCTATGATCAAGTTATAGTTTGGGATGATTTAAATTACAGATTAACTAACTATATTATGAAGTGCTAACCTACTGCGTCGTATACGATATCAAATTTCTCTGAGAGCTCTTCAAAATTCTCCTTTGTGTAATCAATGGACAAATCAACACCTAAACTCCTCAACAACTCCAATTTTCCAGTATTTGCAGTGGCTGCCACTTTAGACGCACCAAAAACATGTTTTGCTAACTGTCTCAGAGAAAGAAAGGAAAAAAAAAAGAAGAAGAGGAGTTATGATATATATATTTTTTGAATAATGCTAAGGACATCAATTCAAATCTCAACTTTTATGTACTAATTAGTGTGGCATGTGAATTTTTATCTACTAATAAAAAGATGACAACTCACATGCTACATCAGTTAGTATGCAAAAATTAGAATTTGAGTTAGTGTCCTTAACATTTCTCATTTTTTTAGTTAAAAAAGGATCATTGATGCCATTTTTTATTGAAGAAATCCTAGATTCATCAATTAAACGAAAAGGACTCACCCAATTCTACTAAAAAAATAAGCTAAGTTTCAAACCGCCATAGATCAAATGTGAGGATTTGAATTTATAGACATATTGAGACAGTGCCCAGATCGTCATGCCTTTTGCGCGGGTCGAAACTAGTTTGACGAGGAATTTCGCTACCTAAGGAACCATCATAGCTGAAGCCGCCGTTCACTAGGGTTTTGGTTGCGGGGTCTCGTATCATCAAGTCACCAACTTCCTTGACCTTCTAACACTGGGCAAGTGTCAAATCCCATACACGATCTTACGATTTTGTTAGAAGTACGTACGTAGAAGAAAGAAAGACATTCACATCATTTTCATCACCTTTTGGTGGTAAGTTATAATATAGTTACAAGGAATAGAAGAATCATATAAATTTAAGCATCAAGTTGAAGCTGTAAAAACATATTAAATATACACACCTGAATAACCAAGGACCCAACTCCGCTGGAACCTCCAAGAACGAGAACGGATTTACCAGCGGAAAGTTGAGCAAGTTCTAGACCTCCATAGGCAGTTTGAAGAGCAACCGGAAGACTAGCAGCTTCAGCAAAACTCAAATTCTTGGGCTTCAAAGCTAACACTTTCTCTTCTGCAGCAGTGTATTCTGATAAACTGCCAATTTTCTTAGGGTTTTGCACAGAGTTCTCATTGATATCACCATAAACCTCATCTCCCAACTTAAACTTTCTCGCTTGGCTTCCAACCTTTACCACCACACCGGCAACATCGAATCCTGGAACGACCTGCACATATACAATTTAGGATCCAACTACATTTGTTCATGAATTTTTTATCCTTTTTTTAATATATTATTAATTTGTTGTCGTTTGCAATGGTGGTAATTTATATTTTCTTGTCGGTTTTTACACGATGTTATAATTCTTTCTTTCTTTCTTTCTTTCTTTCTTTCTTTTATTTTTTTATTTATTTTTTTTGGAAACGCTTGTCATCAGTTCGTGGTTTTATGTAACATTGTCGTCGTGTAAAAAAAAAAAAAAGAACAAAAAAAATCTAACGCTGTTGCTGATTTGCATCATTATATCTTCTTCTTTTTATGTTGCCGTTTCTTAAATTTTTTATTGTCATGTCAGCTGACTAAATGTAGTTCTTAAATCCTTGACGTTTTCAGTGTCCCTTTTTACTTTCAGTCTTAGAGAATTTTTGTTTAAATCAATAAGGACTTGTTTGTTTCGTATACTTAAATTCATAATTTTAATTATGCTATAGTGTTTTACATTTCACAAAAAATTTGAATTTAGAAATTTTTTCTCTCACAAAATTTCTACCAATATTTCCATGTCGTTGTTTTATGATATTGTAAATTTTAGAGGGTTGACGCTTTTTTGTAATGTTGTCATTGTCAAAAAGAAACCTGTAATAATATAAAAAAAAAAAAAAAAAAAAAAACAACAACAACAACAAAAAGAAAGAAACCTGTAGTGGATGCTTTGTTGTTTTATTACACATTGTCGTTTTTATTAGATGTTGGCCTTAGATTAGTCAACATTTATGTCGTTTTTAAAGTAGTTTCCTAAGCTGTTTGTCGTTTTCGATGATTTGCAGTCTTGACTAGATTTTATTAAAGTTTCTTATACATCCTTCTTGTTTCCCAAAGTCCTTATCGTCTTTTAATTCATTTTTTTCCTATGTTTCCTGGTCATTTTTACATGATATTGTGGTTTCTTAAGGGCCATCCTTTTATGTAACTTTTATTGACAAAAAGGAGTTGTCGTTCAACAGACCCTGTCGTTTTATGAGATAATGTCATTTCACATTAATTAGTTGTTGCTTTTTTAATTTGTTGCCATCTTCTCTTGTTGTGTCATTTCAAAAATACTAGTTGAGCCATGTGTTACTATGCAGGTGAGGAATAACTTTATAAGTTGTGATGTCGTGTTAAAAAACAAGCGTTCTAAGAAATAAAATCCATTAATTAGAGCAATAGGAAAAAATATTTAAAAAAATTACATAAAAAAGAATCAAAGTTATATAAGAATTTTGAAAAAAAATTAAGTATGGAGATATTTGAAAAGAATTATTTTAATCAAAAGAAAGTGAGAGAAAGAAAGTATTTCAAAAAAAAAAAAAGATATTGTTAAAAAAAATAAACTGTGAAAGAATATTAGATGAAAAAAAGGATAACAGTAAAAAGAAAAAATGAAACAAATTCAAAAAATAAAAAGAGGAAAAGTAAAAATAAACTGGATAAGAGATTTAAGGGGGGGGAAAAAAAAGAAGAAGAAGCAACAAGCAATCAAAAGTGAAAAGAATAGAAAAAGTAAAAAAGTCAAAGCAAAATATGAAGAGTAAATTACAGGTTTGTCAAAAAAAGTAAAAATGTAAAAACAAAATATGAAGAGTAAATTACAGGGTTTTCACATGATCCAAAGAGAAGCAACTCCTTTGACTCTTTTATGTGTGTTTAGATTTTTAGTTTGTGGCTTCTTGTAATTCGTTGTCGTTTATTTTATGAAATGCCGTTTTTAGTGTCTTGTGGTTTTCTAAATGAATAGTCGTTTTAATTCAGGGGAAAAAAAAGTGAATAGTCGTTTTAAAGTCGTCCTTGTCAAACGACGTCTCTTCTTCTGTAAATTAAATCATTTTTTTTTTCTGGGAAATGACCCTTTTTTTTTAAACTCTAAAACGAAGTCACACGATTGACTTTCTCTTCCTGAAGAATATACCCCTTTAATTTTTTAAAAGATCAAAAAGACCCTAAAATAATACAGAAAATTTTAAAATTTATCCTTAAGAGTGTATGAGTTTAAACTTTTACCTCTTACTCTTATTAAATACCTTTTTATTATTGTAGTTATTTAACTAAAAAGATTATGAATCAAAAATAAAAATTAAAAATCTTGACTCGTGCATTTTTAAAGGATGTTTGTAAAGATTTCCCATTATTATATAGCCCATAGCATAGTCCATGGAGATAACATCTGACTCATTGATTTCACGAGTTCAAATTGAATGTAGTCTAAAATTTGTAGTCTAAACTGCTGTTTAAATTTACGTTTAGTAATGTAAAATATAAACAGAGAATAAAATTTGACCTGGTAATTGTTTACATCATTTTGATTTTTTTTTTAAATATAATGAAGTGATATTTGGATGAAATTTTATTGTACATTTGGGGTTCAAACCATCAAATGTTAAGGGGTGTAAGTTCCTTGAAATCCATCTAGATGGGTTCAAAACATGATGAATTATAAATCAAATAGGCACTTATATTTATCTATTTTTCATTTATAAGATAGTATAGTTTAAAAGCTGTAAATTTAAGTCAGGTCAAACGGTCTTATATGGCCGATCCCAATCTGCTTAAAATTGAGACTGGCCAAGACTTTTGGGTTGAGCTTAATGTTTAGGCTCAAAATGCATTTGGGTCGGCCCCAATTATTAGTTTTTAAAATTTTTAGATATTTATTTTATAGAAAAGAAAAAAAAGACAAATATCTATTATTCTTGATTAATAATTTTTTTAATTAAATAATTATATTAATTAATAATAAAAAATAAAATTTTTAACTCATACACATTAATTTTCTCCGTAAAAAAGCAAGTCGGTCTAGCCCCGTGATTTCACCATTCGAACTCACACCTCTGTACATATGATTCAAATTATACTGTGCGCAACAAAATTAGTGTGTCTTTAAACAAAGTAGTGCAATATTTAACCCGAAGAGAGAGAGAAACTATCTTTTATGAGCTACACAAGAAAAAAAATGAAGAACTTCAAAAAAAAAAAAAAAAAAAAAAAAAGATTGAAAGTCAGAAAGAGACTCACAGGGGGAGGAGTATCAATGGCTTTGAACCAGCCAAGCATCCTCTTGAAATCAACTGGATTGATTGCTGCGGCCGCAACCTTGATCAGTACCTGGTCTTCCTTCAAATCAGGAATTCCTACATTCTCCTCAAACTTCAACACTTCCCCAGATTTTCCATACTCAGAGTATATCCATGCCTTATTCACAAGTTTACTTGAAGCCATGAACGTGAACTTGCTACAAACTTTTCAGAGGAGAGAGAGAGAGAGAGAGAGAGAGAGAGAGAGAGAGTTGGACGAAAAGGATCTATTCTGCAAGCGTATTAGACAGACTTCTTACAAAAATATGGACGAAACATGTAAAATTTGTAGCAATTTGAATATGTACAACTTATCGGAGAGTTTGAATACTAAACATATAAAAATTACAAAAATTTGAATTGTTCATCACCAATTTATCAAACCGTGAATAGAGACAGTGACTGTTTACAAACCTACAAAACATCAATTATCAACTAGGGAAAGCCAAAAAGCTGAAAAAGATTAAAAAAAAAAAATCCACGATCAAAGTGCACTGCTTAGATGGCGTATACCCTTTGGTCATTAACATCACATCATCATTTTAAAAAAGATCTCATGTTACACATTTCTTGAAGTATTTTAAGAGGACGTTTGGTTGATGGATTCAGAACCATTCTCGATTTATGTGTGTTTTTTTTAGAAAAAATACTGTAACGAGTCACGAATCATGATTCGAAGCATGGCACGAATCCTTGAACCAAACACACTCTAAGTGTGTCCACACGTTTTGCTTCTAGACAAACTTTTTATCAAGGTTCATTCTAGACGGAAAGTCGTAACTTAATTTGGTTAAAACCCGATATTAACGATATTATGCAAGCAAAAAGTCAACTTAATTTGGCTAAAACCTCATATAATTAACTATATTATCCAAGCAGAAAGCCAACTTAATTAACCATTTTTCTTTTTACTGGGGTTAAGAATAGACCAGGTCGCCTAATATGTCAGCCAAATACGTTGACTTGTTCTCAAAATGGTTTTTGTTTTTCCTGCTATGTGGATGTTTTTTAAATTCATGTCGTTTTCATGTAATGTTCTTGTGGTTAAAATGTTGTCACTAAAAAAAAAAATCCGATTGTCTTTAAAATGTTGTCGTTTTCACTGATGTTGTCATTTTTAAACAGTTGTTGCTTATCTAGTATGTCTCACTGTCTTTAATCTTTTTTTTTTTTTGTGGTTTTATGATAAGGATTTAAAAAAAAAAAAGAATTATACTTGCATTTTGATGTTATCAAAAGATCATATCTTATATATATTTGAAATTGTATCACATTTTTACATTGAGATTTTGACTTTATGCTTAATTCATGCGTTTTTTATCAGTCAATGGTCAGTTTTGACTACAAAAAGACCCTAAGAGTAAGAAAAAAATTAAGAAAAACTAAAAGTTCAAAAATGTAAAGGATATCGAGGTTAATTTCATAGTCAAAATAAACCTGACGGAAAAGAGTTAAGTATTTAGCATGAATTTGATTTATGAAGATATAAATTTGGTTGTTCAAAATAAAACGTATGATTTTTTGATAACCTCAAATGGTGGGGTATAGGGGGGGTAAAAAAAAAAAAAAAAAAAAAAAAAAAAAAAAAAACTATTTTATGTATCATTGAAGTTTCTATGAAATATTGTTGTTTCATATGATGTCGTTGTTTTTCAAGGCTGTTTGATATATTATGGCAGACAAAGGAGCCACCTTCTCATTTGCAAAAGAAAAGAAAAATAAGGAAAAGGCCAAAGTAGTAGGCACGAAAGAAGGAAAATAAGGGAAAAAATAATAACAATAATAATAATAATAAGGCGAGTGGCTGCCTTTTGTGAAGAGAAAAGCAGCGAAGGGGAGGGGCTGAGGCCTATAAATACCAAGCCCCCTCATTAGTTTTTCTCATCCCATTCTCATGTCTTATGAGAGAATTCCATAGCGAGAGAAATTTAAACCGTGTTTAGAATTGATCCCGTTTTTATTTTTCATGTTTTTTGAGAAAAAAAAATAAAAAATGTTTTCAAAATGGCGTTTGGCACAATAAAGATAAAAAACGGAAATGAAAATGATTTTTTAGTTTAGTGTAAAATGAGAGAGAAACGAAAAACGATTTTTAGTTATTTTTCATTTTTTATTTTCGTTTTCTCCTCTCTCGAGTACAGAGAGAGAGACATTAATGTTTTTTTTATACTGAAAATAATCTCTTGATAAAACTATTAAACGCATTTTCAAAAATGATTTATGTCTGAGATTGAAAACGTTTTCATTTTTATTTTCATACAAAAAATAAAATCATTTTGGAACGAGTTTTAAACGCGCCATTAGTTTTTCCAATTCTTTTCTTCTTTATGAGTAGTTTTTTCTATTTATATGAGATGGAGGTTTTTATTTATTCTCTCCATGTAATTTAAAGATAAGGTTGTAATTAGTAAAATTTTTATACACTTGTCCCGTTATTTTTACCCTGTTTCTTTTAAGATTTTCCACGTAAAAATATCTATATTTATTTTATCTTTATTTTTACTTATTTTTTATTTTACGGCCAGATTTGCCAACATGATATAACACTATTCTCATTTTACTAAGATGATGTTGTTGTTTCCAAATTCATTGTCGTTTCTTGAAGTCGTTGTCGTTATTTACAAAAGATAGAAAGCAAACTCAAAAAAGGTCGGTTGACACAAATACGTGTAAAAAAGGAATGGAATCAGACCATTAAAATAAAATCGTGGGCCACATGAGGCTAGCTGAAGTGATTAGAATATATGCGCGACTGTCTATTAAATTTTAAATTTGATCATTTCATTTTTTTTAAAATAAAATGAGAGAAAATAAGTTCCATCAACAGACACTTTGCCTTCCTTTGATATCAGCAGTCTTATCTCTGATCCCATAAAATGGGTTTGGTACTTGGTACAACTCCGACATAATATACAACCGATTCTAAAAATGCACAATAATAAATAAATAAACAAGGAACAAGGCTCAACGGTATAATAACAAAACATCAAACCTTCTTATTTATTTATTTTTCTACACAAACCTTTGTTATTTCTGGCAAGTATAGTACGGTATAAAATTATTAAATACACGTCATGACATAGCAATATATATGGTTGCTAATTAATAGAAAGCCAAGGTGATTGCTTTGTAGGCACTCATGGAATGGGATACACTACGACTTTTCCAGTGGCTCTGCCAGTTTCAAGGTAGGAAAATGCTTCAACTGTCTTAGAGAATGGAAATGGACCTTTTGGATCAATCACTGCCTTCACCTTTCCACTCTCTAAATCAGGTTTCAGCTTCTCAAGTACAGACCCACTTGAAACGACAGAATAGAGCTTCGCTTGTGGAGCCACAGACGCAACAGGTGCTATTGTCACAACTTCCCCGCCTTCTTTCACGGCTTTCACAGCTCTCTCAGATTGTCCTGTTTCATATTTTTGTTACGTAACCATTAAAAACTCGTCCATAAAACAAAAAATAAAACAAAAAATTAAAAGTTAACGAACTATATTGTGAAATACTAACCAACTGTATCATATACGACATCAAATTTCTCTGGAAGCTCTTCAAAATTCTCCTTTGTGTAATCAATGGCCAAATCAGCTCCCAAACTCCTCAGTAACTCCAACTTTCCAGTGCTTGCAGTGGCTGCCACTTTAGACACCCCGAAAACGTGTTTTGTTAACTGTCTCGACGGGCAGGGGGGAATAGGTAAATAACATTTAGTGGAACAAAAGTAAATGGCAGAAAACTTAGATTACCCCATGTGCAAATTTGATTAAACTTAAAATTTGTCGGATTTGCTTACATAAAACCTAAAATTATATATATTATCATCAATGTTTATTAATTTTTTTGCATAAAAATTAGTATAATTTCTTTGTTAATACATTCGTTTAATGTCCTTACAAAATATTCTTTTAGAATTAAAAATGTCCTTTACTAACAATTGCAGTAATTATATTATTTGCTAACATAAAATTCATAATTAGGCTATTGTCTACAATTTCTCCCAAAAAAAAATGTCACATATCTCATATATATTTAAACTTATTTTTCAGCATAGACTTGAAGTACGAAGGTTAAAACATGTTATATGCACACCTGAATAACCAAGGTCCCAACTCCGCCGGCACCTCCAAGAACAAGAATAGATTTACCGGCGGAAAATCGAGCAAGTTCAAGGCCTCCATATGCAGTTTCAAGAGCAAGTGGAAGGCTAGCAGCTTCAACAAAACTCAGATTCTTCGGCTTCAAAGCTAATACTTTCTCTTCTGCAGCAGTGTATTCAGCCAAAGTACCAATTTTTTTCGGCTTTTGCACAGATTTCACATTGATATCACCATAAACCTCGTCTCCAACCTTAAACTTTGTCACTTGGCTTCCGACCTTTTTCACCACACCGGCAACATCGTATCCTGGAACCACCTGCATTTGTTCATAAATTCTTTATCACGTTTTTTTTTTAATCTATTATACATTTGTTGTCGTTTGCAATGATGTTAATTTATATTTTCTTGTCGTTCTATATATGCGATGTTGTGTGTATATATATATATATATTCTTTTCTTTTCTTTTTTAAGGAAATGATTGTTGAGAGTTTTTCTAATAGGTCCGAATAATTCTCTTACTTTTAGATTTGTATTAAAAACTGTTACAGTCTTAATAGATCTTGTCGTTTTCTGAGATAATGCCATTTCACGACGGTTGTTCTCCATTTCGTAAATGTCGTTAACGCCCTTGTGGTTAAAGCTAGTTTATTGTCGTTTTATAGTAGAAGTTTTCAGTGTCTTGTGGGAAATTGTCGTTTTAAAGTTGTCATTTTTCAAATTGACGTCTCTTCACAGATAAGAAAATATATATATTTTTTTTAAATTTCCTGAGAAATGACCTTTTTTTTACTTTAAAATGATGTCACGCCATTGTCTCTCTTCCTGAAAGTTATACCCCTTAAATTTTTTAAAGAACAAAAAGACCGTTATTATTATGTAGATTGTAGCCCATGAATTCTTTCTCTTTCTTTCTTTTAAAAAAAGATAATTGTATTATAAATTAAGGACATAATTAATGCAGACTTGAATGACACAAGGAAATTTAATTCCGACCACATAGCTCATGAATTGTTTCATGTATCTAACGGGTAATTTGGTGTAAACAGGAGAAAAGTTTATTTTTCAAAAAAAAAAAAAAAAAACCCCGCGTAAAAAAGCAAAAAAATAAAAATAAAAGATTTGAAAGACAAAAGGAGGCTCACAGGAGGAGAAGTGTCAGTGGATTTGAACCAGCCAAGCATCCTCTTGAAATCAACCGGATTGAGGGCTGCGGCTGCAACCTTGATCAGCACCTGATCTTCCTTCAAATCAGGAACTCCTACATTCTCTTCAAACTTCAACACTTCCCCAGATTTTCCGTACTCCGAGTACACCCATCCCTTATTCACAACTGTACTAGAAGCCATGAACTTGAACTTTTTTCCGGAGACTTTTCAGGAGAGAGAAAGTTGGAGGAAATGAGTCTTAGACAAATTTCTTACAAAAATATGGACGAAACATGCAAAATTTATAGCAAACGGGTAAGGCTTATATATCTACCAAAATTTACCAAAGGATGAACAGGGTATAGAGACAGGAGCAAAAAAGAAGGGGGAAAAAAAACAGTAGTTTGAAAAACGAGTAGTTCTACCGATTTCCAAAATCCACGATCAAATGGCAGTTTCTAAGGCATACAGAGGTCATTAACATCACATCGTTTGAAAAAGAGTTGGTTCTTGATGTTTCTCCATGTACCTAGATGACTTTTCTATCAAGGTTCATTATTAGACAGGAAAACAATTTCATTACGCTCAAATCCGATATCAACTTTATTATGCAAGCAGTGACGAAGCTAGAGTTGTTGTTTTTGTTTTTTTTGTTTTTTTTTTTTTCAAAATGGACATGATCAGTTAAGTCATAGAGTAATAGTTTTTTAAAAATTTGGCCTCTTTTTTTTTTCAAGTAATTGGGCCTCTAATTGAGTTTAAGTCACCTTTTAAATTCACATACTACAAAATAATATTTTTTTGTAACAATATAATTGATATTTGATGTATTTAGCCATTCAAAAGTGTAATATATACGAGTGTACTTAAAATTCAGAATTTGAGTATAACAGGTTCAAAAAAAATTATATATACAAATATTTTAATAAAAATTTTAGGGGACAAATTAAGAAGAATTTCTATTTTTTTTACTGGAGTTAAAAATACACATACAGTACAAATTGCATTTTTACGAAACTAGTATATTTTAAAATATTTAAAGTAAATAGTAATAAAAGATCTTTTACCACATAAATTTTTAATTTAGTACATTTTATTTTAAATAATTTTAAAATCTTCTATTTACTTTGATTATTTATTAAAAATGTGCTCTTTACTTTTCCCCCTAAAAAATATAAAGGAGCCTTTTCGGCCGAAGTTTAGTTCCCCGCGGCCCAAGTTACCTCTTCCATTGAACGTAAGCCTATATGAGAAATCCTTAATGAAAAAAAAAAAAGAAATATATACCACTGGTAAAAAAATATTATTTATGCTATTCTATTAAAAAATAAATAATTTTTATTAAATTAATAAAGAGAAATTAAAAATCCATGATGATTCGTAATTATTTAAAATGATATAAAATAATAGGCATGCATAAAACCATGGCAAACCATATACTTTTCTCATCCTTTATTTACTTCGTGAGAGAGAAATGAGGATATTTTTCAAAATTTAATAAATTTTGACAAAGATGAAGAAGGTTAATTTTTTTAAATTTTTTTCCTCCTTTCTTTTGGGTTTTTAGTTTTTGAAAAAAAAATTGATTTATTTAATTTTTGAATTGTTTTGAAGTTAAGCATTTTTATATTTATTTTTTATTAGTTTTTAGTATTTAATCACTTTTATTGATTTAATTAGAATTTTATATGTGTAATTAAATTTTAATGGCATGTCATATCGACAAAACTATTATTTTATTATATTTTTTATAAATTAAGGGGTGTTTTGATATGTTTTGATAAATCATAGGACATTTTGAAATAGGGTACATACTTCAGAAGGGTTTATGAAAATAATCCATTAAACTATTTCTATAATAATTGTCATATCATCAAATCTATTAATCAAATAAATAAAAGGGGTAAAATTAATAATGTTTTAAAGTTCAGAAAATGTACAACTAATTTTTAAAGTTTGAAGAGTAAAATAAGAAAAAGACTAAAATTCAGAGGATAAAAATTAAATTTATCATAATATTTAATAGCCAATTAGGTTGACAAGTTTTCAAAATGGATTTTGTTTTTTCTGTTACGTGGATTTTTTAAAATTTATCGTCGTTTTCATGTAAATGTTCTTGTCGTTAAAATGTTGTCATTAAAAAAAAAAATCAAATCGTTTGTAAAATGTTGTTGTTTTCACTGATGTTGTCATTTTTAAACTGTTGTTGCTTATCTTGTTTGTCTCACTGTATCCTTATTATTATTATTATTTTATGATAAGGTTTTTTTTAATTATACCCTGCATTTTAAGGTTATTAAAGAATTATATCTTATATTTTGAATTGTATCACATTTATATCCACAAACTTTGATTTTATGCTTAATTCATACCTTTTTCAGTGACTTAAACACCTTTTAAAAAAAGAACAATGATAAGAATAAGAAAAAATAAATTCAAAAACTAAAAATTCAAAAAATGGAAAGGAAATCTAGGTCAATTTCATAGTCAAACTAAACCTTTGAAAAGGTAAGAATTTACCATGAATTTGAAATGTGAAGATATAAATTTAGTACAGTTCAAAATACAAGATATGATTTTTTTTAGGATTAATTTTAAAAATTTCTCCTGAACTATGACCTTTATAACACTTTACCTCCCGAATTTTAAAACGTAACATCCGTTCCTCCCGAACTTTGTTCCGTTAACAACTTTTTCTCTTCTGTTATAATGATGACGGAATTCACCACGTGTCACGTACGTGACCCATCTGATGAGGATATTATTGTAAAAGACCCTGTCTTCATCTTTCCTCCCTGTCATTTGCCTCTGTTATGTTTCTAACTTTTATTTCTTCAGTTTTGCTTCTGTTTTTGAGTTCTTTTTAGCTTTCTTTTGGTAATCTCTGACTTCTCTCTCTTCTCTCCTCTGTATTGGTTGTATTCAATGTAAAATCACATCTCCACATATCTTGACGTGCAATCGCCGTGTTTTTCTCTTCTCTTTCTTGTTGGCACCTCTCTTGTCAATGGCACAAGATCTGCAAGGTTCTTGGCGATGAGAGATTGATCTTCCTTCGTCGTGCTTCTCTGCCCAAACATTGTTGGAGTGGACAAAGAAAAAGGAGATTTCGTCGTGAAAGAGCTAGAGCCTTGAAGCGCCTATTTGACATGCGACCTTGTAGCACGGGATGAGAACGACATCGAGATCTTAGTCGTGGGCCCATGATGGACACGCGAAAGAGATCTCCTTTTCGGCTCCAAGACAATAGAGAGATTCAAGCAACTTGGTGATGGTCCTGATGGAGAGATTCGAGTCTGACATGCCCTTGCAGTGTCTTGATGAATACGACAGCGAGATCTTGGTCGTGCTGGACGTGTGGAGATGTGATTTTTGTGTTTTTGTAAAGCTTTGATGATGTTTTGATGCCTTTCTGTTAATGGAAAATCTAAAATTTATAGATTTGGGTTGAAGCTGATGATGTTTCCCACAGAGAAGATGGTGAATTTTTCAATAAAAATGGAGAATTATATGATTAGGATGGTATAAACGTAATTGTGTTTTCAATTCTCACTAAATAAGTGACACGTGACAATTCCGTCAGTCATTGTAACATAAGAGGAAAACTTGTTAACAGAACAAAGTCCAAGGAGAGCGGATGTTATGTTTTAAAATTCGGGAAGCACAGTGTTACAATGGGCATAATTCAGGGGGAATTTTTGAAATTAATCCTTTTTTTTATAACCTCACATGGCCGCAGCACTGATGAGTCGATTTCCAAAGCCAGGGTGCCCCTCACCGAGTTGAAGCACTGGCCAATGCCAAGATACGTGCACTTATGGGACGATACTCGTATTCACGAATTTATTACTTAACAATGATACGTTCACTTGCGTTCGCATTTTTTCGTAATGGCGTGCGTGTGTTCACTAAGTTCGAATCATGATTATTTCATTTCTTGAGCAACACATCTGACTCTTGTGCCTTCCCCCTAATGTCAGCAGTCTAATCTCTGATCCCATGAAACGGGTTTGGTACTTGGTAGTAATTCGCGACAAAATATACAACCGAAAACGCGCAAAAGAAGAAACAACGAACAAGTCACAACCGTATAATAACAAAACATTAAACTTTCTTATTATTTACTTCTCTACACAAGACCTTTATTTATAACAAGTCATATGTACTACGACACAACTAATTAAAAATACGTAATGACACAGCAATAGACATGCACACACATAGATATAGTTAATCGGTAGAAAACCAAAGTGCGCTGTCTAAGTACTCATGGGATGGGATACACCACGACTTTTCCAGTAGCTCTGCCAGTTTCGAGGTAGGAAAATGCTTCAACTGTCTTAGAGAATGGAAATGGGCCTTTTGGATCAATCACTGCCTTCACCTTTCCACTCTCTAAATCAGGTTTCAGCTTCTCAAGAACAGACCCACTTGAAACGACAATGTAGAACTTTACTTGTGGAGGAAGAGACGAACCACGTGCTATTGTCACAACTTCCCCACCTTCTTTGACGGCCTTCGAAGCCCTCTCAGATTGCCCTGTTATAAGGTTTTGTCATGCATATATATATATATATATATATGTATATATATTATATTCTTCATGCTATGATCATATTATGGGATGGATGCAAATTATTGGTTTAACTAATTAACTACATTCTGAAATACTAACCAACTGTGTCATATACGACATCAAATTTCTCTGAAAGCTCTTCAAAATTTTCCTTTGTGTAATCAATGGACAAATCAGCTCCCAAACTCCTCAGTAACTCCAATTTTCCGGTGCTTGCAGTGGCTGCCACTTTAGAAGCCCCAAAAACGTGTTTTGCCAACTTTCTCGGACGGAAAAAAAAAAGGGGGTAAAGACACAAAAGTTGTGGAACAAAAATACAGACACAAAATTTGGATTAGTAAATTCAGGATTTAACAAATTTACCCCATGATCAAATTTGACAAATTTGATAAATTCGGTATTTATCTTAAAAAATCTTGGATTTACCTCGTGATGAAATTTTGTAAATTCAAGATTTACCTGATAAATTCTAGATTTACCCGTAAGCATAAAAATGAAGTAAAAAAAAAAAAAAGTTTAAAAACATGTTATATGCACACCTGAATTACCAAGGTCCCAACTCCGCCGGCACCGCCAAGAACAAGAATGGATTTACCAGGAGAAAATTGAGCAAGTTCAAGACCTCCATAGGCAGTCTCAAGAGCAAGTGGAAGGCTAGCAGCTTCAACAAAACTCAGATTCTTGGGCTTCAAACCTAACACTTTCTCTTCTGCAGCAGTGTATTCGGCTAAAGTTCCAATTTTTTGGGGTTCTAAAGGTTTCTCATTGATATCACCATAAACCTCATCTCCAACCTTAAACTTTGTCACTTTGCTTCCGACCTTTTCCACCACACCGGCAACATCGTATCCTGGAACCACCTGCATTTGTTCATGAATTCTTTATCACTTTTTTTTTAATCTATTCAATATTTGTTGTCGTTTGCAATGATGTTAATTTCTATTTTCTTGTCTTTGAACAAAGTAGTGAGTATTTTTCCCCAAAAAGAGAGAGAGAGTCTATTTTCTAAGAACTATACCAAGAAGAAACAGGAGAAAAGTTTATTTTTCAAAAAAAAAAAAAAACCGTAAAAAAAAGCAAAAAATAAATAAATAAATAAAAGATTTGAAAGACAAAAGGAAGCTCACAGGAGGAGAAGTGTCAGTGGATTTGAACAAGCCAAGCATCCACTTGAAATCAATTGGATTGAGGGCTGCGGCTGCAACCTTGATCAGCACCTGATCTTCCTTCAAATCAGGAACTCCTACATTCTCTTCAAACTTCAACACTTCCCCAGATTTTCCGTACTCCGAGTACACCCATCCCTTATTCACAACTGTACTAGAAGCCATGAACTTGAACTTTTTTCCGGAGACTTTTCAGGAGAGAGAAAGTTGGAGGAAATGAGTCTTAGACAAATTTCTTACAAAAATATGGACGAAACATACAAAATTTATAGCAAACGGGTAAGGCTTATATATATACCAAAATTTACCAAAGGATGAACAGGGTATAGAGACAGGAGCAAAAAAGAAGGGGGGAAAAAAACAGTAGTTTGAAAAAAGAGTAGTTCTACCGATATCCAAAATCCACGATCAAATGGCAGTTTCTAAGGCATACAGAGGTCATTAACATCACATCGTTTGAAAAAGAGTTGGTTCTTGATGTTTCTCCATGTACCTAGATGACTTTTCTATCAAGGTTCATTATTAGACAGGAAAACAATTTCATTACGCTAAGATCCCATATTAATTTTGAACTCGTTTAGTTTGATTATTCAAGTTTTTAATTCGATACATAAAAAAATTTTAACTATAACAAAAAAACTAAATGTAATTATTTCTAAAAATTGTTTACTATAATAAAACTCAAATTTTAAATTTAAATCTGTAAAATGAACGGAGCTTTTATTATGCAATGAATGACGAAACTAGAGATTTTTGGGCCGAAGTTTAGTTCTTGCGGCCCAAGTTACCTTTTCCATTGAATGTAAACCCGTTTGAGAAATCCTTAATAAAAATAAATAAATATATACCATTTGAAAAATATTATTTATATTACTCTATTAAAAGAAATAAATAATTTTTATTAAATTAATAAGAGAAAATAAAATATCGTAATAATACTCAATTATCTGGGATGATATGAAATAACAAGTATGTATAAAACCAGTCATATACTTTTCTCATCCTTTATTTACTTCGTGAGAGAGAAAAGAGCATATTTTTTCAAAATTAATTAAATTTTGACAAAGATGAAGAAAGTTAACTGTTTAAAAAAAAATTCCTCCTTTCTTTTGGGTTTTTTTATTTTTGAAAAAAAAAATTGATTTATTTAATTTTTGAATTGTTTTGAAGTCAAGCGTTTTTATATTTATTTATTATTATTTTTTAGTATTTAATCACTTTTATAGATTTAATTAGAATTTAATAAGTGTAATTAATTTTTAATGACATGCCACGTCAATAAAATTGTTATTTTATTACGTTTTTTTATAAATTAGGGAGCATTTTAATCTGTTTTGATAGATTATAGGACATTTTAAAATATGATACATATTTCGGGAGATTTATGAAAATAATCTATTAAACTATTTCTCTAATAATTGTCACATCATTAAATTTATTAATCAAATAAACAGAGAGGGTAAAATTAGTAATGTTTCATAGTTCAAAAAGTGTACAGACTAATTTTTATAGTTTGAAGACAAAAGGAGAAATGTTTATTTTTCAAAAAAAAATCCATAAAAAAAAAATAAATAAAAGATTCGAAAGACAAAAGGAGGCTCAAGATAAAAGATTTGAACAAGCCAAGCATCCTGATCTTGAAATCAACCGGATTGAGGGCTGCGGCTGCAACCTTGATCAGCACCTGATCTTCCTTGAAATCGGGAACTCCTATATTCTCCTCAAACTTTAACACCTCCCCAGATTTTCCATATTCTGAGTATATCCACGCCTTATTCACAACTGTACTAGAAGCCATGAAAGTCTTACCACAAACTTTTCAAGAGAGAGAGAGAGAGAGAGAGAAGCGTCTTAGACAGACTTCTTACAAAAATATGGACGAAAGATGTAACAATTGTCGCAAACGTTACATCACAACTGTACTAGAAGCCATGAAAGTCTTACCACAAACTTGTCAAGAGAGAGAGAAGCGTCTTAGACAGACTTCTTACAAAAATATGGACGAAAGATGTAACAATTGTCGCAAACGTTACATCACATTTCCACCAATTTAATTGCCAAACTAACCATGAGTAGAGACCGTGACTAGTTACAAGCCCTACAAAACATCAATTATCGAGGGGGAAAATAACTTTGAGAAAGAGCAGTTCTACCAATGATCCACCATCAAAGGGCAGTACTGAGGTGGCGTAGAAAGAGCTAGCTAGGTCACTATCATCACATCATTTGAAAAAGAGCTGGTGCTGCATATTTCTCCAAGGAGTATACGAGATTAAAGCCTCGTTCATTTCACCGATTCAAGTTTTCAGTTATAGGTTTCTACAGTAAAAAATTCTCAAAAAATGTCACATCAAAATTTTTTGCTACAGTAAAAAGCTCTCAGAAAATGTCACATCTCAACTCGAATTAAAAACTCGAATCCGCAAAGTGAACGAGGCTTAAAATTCCATTACTCATAAAAAGTCAGTCTCTTTAAATAAATATATACGCAGGACTCAACTTAATAAATAAGACCCACCACTTTATGAATGGTGGGGTTTTATTTTGTTAGGGATAAATATCTTTTTATTTCTCCAAACTTTCGAGTATGGACTCACATCATGTATCTATCAAGGTTCAAATTTAGACAGAAAATCAAGTTTATTAGGATAAAACCCGACATTAACTATATTATGTCATTGATTTTTGGTTTATCTAGCCATTGAAAAGTGTAAAATGCAAGTTTACTTAAAATTCAAATTTTGACTATAACTGACTTTAAAAAAAAAAAGATAAATATTGTGATAAAAATTCAAGGGGAACAAATTAAGGAAAATTTGCCTCTTTATCGGAGTTAAAAAATTTAATGGATCCCCTTGAGCCGAAGGTTAACTTCACCCCCGAAGCCCAAGAATCCTTAAATTAGTTCCTGAAAGAGGAAAGAACATAAAAGAAAGCAATGTTAATCACTGTTGGAGAAGGTTTTTTTTTTTTTTTTTTTTTTGGTAGGTATGAAAAATACCATATTACTAGGACACAATTTTTAACATTAGATTATAATTAATTTTTTTAAATTATCATAATTATTTTATCAAGATACAATTTTGATGTGATTGGGAATTAAAAACTAGAAGTACTGATGTCAAAAATTGTGTTGGTTTACAACTTTGTGTCCCACACCTTTTGTTGTTAGAATTTTGTGTCCACAATTTGTGCAGAAACCTGCCGTCTACCTTTCTTTAGCTGTCTAATTTCACTCCCATAATTACCTCCAAAGAACTAAACTGGCTTGGATGCTGATTTGGCTATTAATGATTATACAAAAATGCGAATTTTTGAGGACCCTCCAAAGAATTTGATGTGTGGTGTATGGTACAGTTAGTAATAGTATATGCATGTTAAAATAAGCTGGTAATAGTATTTATTTATTTATTTATTTTAAATGAGTCGGTAATAGTGTATTTCCATTATTTGTTTTCTCACTTCAACTCTGTGGCAATTTTGGAGAGTTTGTTAGGTGAAGCCATTGATTAATAATCTCAAGAGGCCATTTCCTATTTCCAAAAGCCATGGAGGCATTTTCTTTATTACTTCCACATTACTGCTTTGTGTATTTTCTTTCTTTCTAATAGTCTGTGTGTGAAAGAGTTGAAATCCAAAGTCGACCCGTGCAATAATTTTATGGAGATCCTCACCGTATCGGCCAAGAGATTTTAGATCCGTCTAAAATAATTTTATTTTTTATATATAAATAAAAATGAAAATGTTTTTAATTTTAAGAAGAAATTATTTTTAAAAATGCGTTTAGTAATTTTATTAAGAGATTATTTTCAGTATAAAAAAACTCATTAATGTCTTTATCTCTTTCTCTCTACTGAAGAAAGGAGAAAACGAAAATAAAAAATAATAAAAAAATTATTTTTCATTTCTCTCTCATTTTATACTAAACCAAAAAATTATTTTTATTTCTATTTTTTATCTTTATTGTACCAAACACCATTTTAAAAATGTTTTCTTTAAAAAAAAAAACGTGAAAAATAAAAATATGATCAATTCTAAACACGGCATTTATTCTTTTTGATATGGATGTCCTCACCATCCCGTCCATATTACACGTTCACTAATCACTACCAACCTAGAACTCAATATTTAACACGTGTTTCACGTGAATAATCCTTTCAACATCAGTTATAAACTTACAAAATTAGTAACTGTATTAGCATTGTCGTATGTATTATGATAGCACTGACAATGCAACATAAATCCCTTGTTATATCCGTTTTTCACAATTTAATAAATTTTCCGGATTTAGCCATGTATAACTAATTAATTAGGAAAAATAAAGCATAAAATAAAGAACACCAAAGATTAGTATCGTAGTTCGGTAACTACTTATATCTGTGGAGTCACGCCAAGACAGTGAACAATCTATTAAGTATTAATAATTACAATCACCAATCAGATTTATACACTCAAAGACTCTCTCTCTTCGATAATGTCACCGCCGTGTTGAATCTACTTAATGGTCTTATTCAGTGAGCACCACTCATCTTCAAAAATTGCACAACGAAATTCCTTCGTCAGGCAGATCGCTCTCTCCTGAAAGTTTAAATTCTTCTCCTAAAAAACGATAAATGGTTGAACTTCCTTCAACACTGTAAATATTTTCTCCCGAAGACCACTATATTTCTATTTTTTATCTTTATTGTACCAAACACCATTTTAAAAATGTTTTTTTTTAAAAAAAAAACGTGAAAAATAAAAACATGATCAATTCTAAACACGGCATTTATTCTTTTTGATATGGATGTCCTCACCATACCGTCCATATTACACGTTCACTAATCACTACCAACCTAGAACTCAATATTTAACACGTGTTTCACGTGAATAATCCTTTCAACATCAGTTATAAACTTACAAAATTAGTAACTGTATTAGCATTGTCGTATGTATTATGATAGCACTGACAATGCAACATAAATCCCTTGTTATATCCGTTTTTCACAATTTAATAAATTTTCCGGATTTAGCCATGTATAACTAATTAATTAGGAAAAATAAAGCATAAAATAAAGAACACCAAAGATTAGTATCGTAGTTCGGTAACTACTTATATCTGTGGAGTCACGCCAAGACAGTGAACAATCTATTAAGTATTAATAATTACAATCACCAATCAGATTTATACACTCAAAGACTCTCTCTCTTCGATAATGTCACCGCCGTGTTGAATCTACTTAATGGTCTTATTCAGTGAGCACCACTCATCTTCAAAAATTGCACAACGAAATTCCTTCGTCAGGCAGATCGCTCTCTCCTGAAAGTTTAAATTCTTCTCCTAAAAAATGATAAATGGTTAAACTTCCTTCAACACTGTAAATATTTTCTCCCGAAGACCACTACTTCTTCTCTTAAAAAATGATAATAGAAACTACTCAAAATATTATGTGCGAAACCCGTGAATGAATTATCTTGAGTTCCAGCAACTCTTCATTAACGCAGGTCCCCCAATATACATGCCTTAGACCAAGTCAAACTTGGTTGAATTTCAAAACTAATATCATATTCAAACCTCCCAATATATCTTCAACTAATATCTTTTTTCTCACTCACTCATAAGTAGACTTAATCCAATCATCTTTTGAATTTCAATATCAAACTAAATCCGGATTTATATCTGGACTTGTATTGCATGTATCACTCCTCTTATTTTCATTGCAATTCAAATATTAAACAACCCTTTTTTAAAAATTTAAATCCAAGGCATATCTTTTACTACAATCCTTATCATGACCTATCAAAACTATTCAACTCGAAACCAACTGCAACTTGAATTTAAACACGCAAATACAAATATTTTGACTTTTAAACTACAGTTGCTATATCTACTTTGCTGGAACTCAATACTTATCTTTATAAAACTGTAACACGATCAAATCTGCATCAATATCACGGTCAAAGCTGCATTGATAATTTGATTTGTTATTAGTATCATCCTTAGTTATTTTGCGTGTTCTTGGTATTTACACATGTGTTTTATGGTGTTTTTGTCTCACTTTTGTAGATGGTAGCAAAAATGGAATGTTTGGTCTCAAGAGGAAGAAAAAGTGCAAAAACAGGTTGTTTCGACCACCACAGTGTGTCTTGAGCTCGCTACAGTGCCAAAACCAGAGGCAAGAAAAGTTACAGGCTGCAGCGCAATTGTCTCCCACTGCAATGTACCTCGGCCGAGCAGGATGGGCGCTGCAGCACCATTGTCTCCCACTGCAGCGCCTGCGACTGTGATGCTAGGGTTTCTAGATAATAGTTAGCGGCGCTGCAGCACACAAAACTCCTGCTGCAGCGCTCGGATACGTGTTGCTCAATTTTTAGAGCAGAAATGAGCTTTTTGTGGGGGAGATAAGAAGGAAAAGAAAGGAACATAGAGAGGGAGCAAGTTTTAGACAGAAAAACCATAATCCAATAGAAGAAAATACGAAGAATTAAAGGCTTGCTTGAAGAACCAAGGAGGGATTGAAGATTGTGGAACTCTACTGGCGTCTAGTTCTACATTCTCTCTTTCTCTCTCTATCTTATTTAGCTTTCAATTTTGAATTACTTTCTTGGATTTGTGATTGAATGATGGATTGGGATTTTGGTTTGTTTATCTATTTAGTTGAGGAATTCTTGATGTCTTGCTCTAGCTAAACCTTTAAGGTCGGGGGTTATGATGTAGCTTGATATTGACTATGTTTTGAAGACTATATTGTTTGTTGATTGAATTTCATCTCAAATCATTTGTGTTTCTCTATGCTATTTGTTCAAATTCATTTGCCTAATGAATTGGAGATTTTAGATGTGTGGATTTAGTCTTGGGAAAGTTATTTTCACATATTGGGACTTGAGAAACACAACCTATAGTAATATTGAGTCGGGAGACCAATATAAATTAGGTAATCACTACAATAGGTTGGGCTTAATGAATGCTTAATTAATTGAGTTAATAGGGATATTAATTTGGTTGGTTATGCATATTATTTTACTCGTCACTTGGGAGAGGGAGTGAAATTGAAGTTGATAACCTAAGATTAATGATTTGAATGAAATTGATCAACAAGATATCAAGTTGGATACACATAGTCTACTTAAGTGAAATCAAAACCCCATCTAGCCTTCATTTATCATCAGAGTTTCCTTCGATCCCTTGTTATTTCTAAATTCCATTTTTACTTGCTTTAGTATTTTAATTTATCATTTTAATTACTTGAATTACATATCGCTTAGATAGAGTTAAAGTTATTGTAGTAGCGGTACTTAGTTTAATTTGTAAATACACTCAATCCTTGTGGGACGATACTTGATAAATTGCCACTTTATTACCTGTTACGATTCGTATACTTGCGAGCTCATACATATTAAAAGAAATTTCGCAACATGCATCAATTTTTTTCTTCACCTATTTTGTAAACTTTTACAAAATTATTAGTAAATTACCAACTAATAAAAATACCTAACATCCTTCCTCCATAAATCATGATTGTAATTTGTAAGAAAGTTAGAGATGCAAACGGGCAGGCCCGGCCCGTTCTCCTTAGGCTCACACAGGCCGGTCTAACCCACGAATTTCGTGGGCCGGGCTGGCCAGTATAAGTTTTACGTGGGCCTGGCTGGGCCGTGCCATGTGCCTTGAATGGGCTAGCTCACTCAAGGCCCATCATGGGTGTAGATGAGCCAGCCCATCTAAGCATGCAATTTTTAATTTTTTTATTTTTATTTTTTATTTTTGAATTTTTAAACAAGTTAACAAATATATTAGTTTGAATAGTCAATATAAATATGAAAAGGGATATTTTATTTACGATTACATCATTAAATAAAAATCTTTCTAAGAAAAACCCAGTAGGACAAAACCTTGGTAAAGAAAAAAGAGTACAATCAGGATAATTATACATAAGATGTTTACAAAATTACTAAAAAAAGAAAATAAACATGAAAATATTATGGGCCGGGTTGGGCCGGCCCATTATGAGCCTAGACAAGTCAGGCTGAGCTAGTCCAACCCGACCCAAGCCCGATCTGGCCCATGATTTTTCATGGGCCGATATATGTTACCTCAACCTAGACCACTAATATTTATAAGTTGGGCCCGGCACGACCCATGAGTCGATATATATTGGTCTAACCTAATCTACCAACATTTATAAGTTAAATTAGACCGTATCTTAAACAGTGACGGACTGGACTGACCCTACTATATGAGGATGGGCATGGGCGTTGCATCTCTAAAGAAAGTAGACAATAATATGTCTAGATCCATTACACTGTACTTATATCTTTATCTTTATCTTTTTTTGTTTTTTTGCTATAATTAACTGATAAAAATATCAAAGCATTGGCACCAAATGGCCAGTTGCCACGCCCTAAATTCGTTTGACATAATCAGTTCGAGAGTTAAAACGCCTCTGTTTACAAAACCCTTCCCATTTTCTGTAATCAGCTCTCGGCGTCAGAAGAAGAATTTCTTGCTAAAATCCATGGCTTCTTCTGCTTCTAGTGGTTCCATTTCCATACCATCTGTGAACAAGGCTTGGATCTACTCGGTGTATGGCAAGTCTTCTGATATCTTGAGGTTCGAAGAAAATGTTGATGTTCCTCAAATAACCGACAATCAAGTCCTCATCAAGGTTGTCGCTGCTTCTCTTAATCCTATCGATTACAAGAGAATGCACGGCCTTCTAAAACACGCCGACACTCTACCTGTAAGTCTCTTCATCTTATTCTAATTGCTCTGTTTTTTCTTTCCTTCTTAGTCTTAAATTAAGTATCTGTGTTTCTTCAGCTGCATATTATAGGAGTTTCTTTAGCTTAGCTTTTTTTTTTTTTTTTTTTGTAATTAAAAATACAGAATTTAGTGTTGGCGATCCCCTAATACACCAGTTAAGAATTAGACGTCCTAATGCTATAAGACAGAGAGAGTAATAAAATTATTGAAGAAAATCAGACAAATAAAGCATACAAAATTTATAGGTTTTCAAAGTTCATACTTAGACTCGTTCGTTTCCTCGTTCGAGTTTAGAACTCTAATGAACTTAAAAAGTGAGTTCATGTGAGAAAATACTTTAGTAAAAACTCGAGTTATGATTGGAATTAGTAAAATGAATAGGGCCTTAAGCTTTTAGTTGATTGTTAAACAACCAAATCAATATTTAGATTTAAGCTTTAGTAGCTTATTAAACGTCTTAAACTTCATAAACTCAATAATATTGTCATTGAAAATTCTGACTTAAAATGAAAAATCTTTTGGTCTGTACTACAGATCGTTCCTGGGTTTGATGTTGCCGGAGTGGTGGTAAAGGCGGGAAGTCAAGTGAAGAAGTTTAAGGTTGGGGATGAAGTGTATGGAGATATCAACGAATCGGGTTCTTCAAAACCAGCACAGTTTGGCACTTTAGCCGAGTATACTGCTGCATCAGAGAAGGTTATAGCTTTGAAACCCAAGAATTTGAGTTTTGTTGAAGCTGCTAGCCTTCCCTTAGCTATAGAGACTGCCTATGAAGGCCTTGAAAGGGGTGAGCTTTCCGCTGGTAAATCAGTTCTTGTTCTTGGTGGCGCTGGTGGAGTTGGTACGCACATTATTCAGGTATTGTGTTAGAGCATCTCCAAAGCAATACCAAACGAGTGTCTATGCCAAATTTTAGAATTTGAGTAGAAATTTTAGTGATAATTTTTTTATTATCATTGGTTGATGAATTGAATTTTTCATTTAATCATTGTGACATTGATACTTTTATTTATTTAAATTTTAAAAGTATACTTTAAGTTCCAAAGTTTATAATAATTAAGACAAAAAAATAATTATAGCTTCTTAAATAGCATTATGCGTTGGAGGACAAAATAGTATAGCATATCAAATATTGCCATTTTCACACCTTTTAGTGCTATATATAGCATTGGTATTGACGTTTGCATTGGAAATGGTTTTAGCTATATCTTCTTATTCTGGTAAATCAAGTAGTTGAAGTTTCTAATGTTTTAGTTAGTCATTGTGGGTGTGTTTTCCATCAAGTTGGATGTAGTAGTTATTTTGTTACTCCAATCTGTATTGACAATTGCGGTAATCATGTCACAACTCTTGTTTAATCTTCTAATTCTAGCTAGCGAAGCATGTTTTTGGTGCGTCCAAAGTGGCGGCCACAGCAAGCACAGCGAAACTGGATTTGCTGAGGAGCTTGGGCGCTGACTTGGCTATTGATTACACAAAGGAGAATTTTGAAGACCTTCCTGAAAAGTTTGATGTAGTATATGATACAGTTGGTAAGATTACAAATCAATGTTACTTCTTCTGTGGCTAATTTTTTCTTAGTATTTTTGGTCATGTTTGTTTAACATTAAAAACCAATATTGAAACGCAAGCCCGATCATAGTGATGGTATATTTTTGCATTCAAACGCAGGACAAGCTGACCGGGGTCTGAAGGTGGTGAAAGAGGGGGGTAAGGTTGTGTCAATAGTAGGGCCTGCACCTGGAGCAATCTCTTTCTTTCTCAATTCAACTGGTTCTACTTTGGAGAAACTGGAGCCTTACTTAGAGAGTGGTAAGATCAAGCCATTGATTGATCCCAAAGGCCAGTTCCCACTCTCTAAAGCTGTGGAGGCATATGCCTACCTTGAGACTTCTAGAGCTACCGGAAAGATCGTAATTTATCCGATTCCTTAAGTTCAAGGCTTGAAGAAAAATCTGCCATATATCATGCTATGCTTAGACGTTATATATGCCCAGTTTGTAATGTGACTTGTAGTCAATAAATGGTTTGCAACTTTGTATGATGATGAATACACGAAGTTTGAGGTTTTTCATTAGTTTATTTGCTCTTTTGCTTCTTACTTCAGCGTTACTTTATTGTGTTTGACAACTAGAAGGGTATGTACCAAAGACATGTATTTACTATGTCACTTCCATGGCATAAATGTTAGTTAGCACTATTACGAGTGGTATTTTTGCGTTTTTCCCATACATAAACGAGATTTTTATATGGAGTGACATGTACGAGCTGATGTGCGTTCAATTTATTATGATCAATATTGGATTTGTTTGGTTATGGAGAAGTTGTATGAAAGGGTCATTAAGGATATATTATCAGGATTGATTTCTTCCTTTCTCTTTCAGGAACTAAATTAAGGTTTTCTCAGATGGGCTCACACCCAGTTAACACCCGTTTTTCACCTAAGTTTATTTTGTCTAAAGTTTGTCTAGATGCACAAATGTGAGTCCACACTTGAAAGTTGAGAATCATATAATATGTCTAGCTTTGCAACGTCACCTTCCACCAATGATTAAACAAAACCAGATAACTGATCCACCGAGGTGCTACAAAATAATTAGACTAAAGTTCTACCAGAAGCCCTTGATCATCTTAGAAGCCGCATCTCATATTTTTTTTCCAGTAATTTCAATGGCTGCAGCTTCCACAAGTAATCAGATACCTTCTGTAAATAAGGCATGGACCTACTCAGAATATGGGAAGTCTGTTGAAGTATTGAAATTTGATACTAGTGTGCCTGTTCCTCAAATAAAGGAAGACCAGGTGCTGATCAAGGTCATAGCTGCTTCTCTTAACCCTGTTGACTTCAAGAGAATCAACGGATTTATCAAAGCCGCCGACTCTCCTTTTCCTGTGATCCTCTTTTTTTGTTTTCCCCTTTGTTTTGATAAATAACTTCCTATATCATTTTTTTTTTTTTTGTCTTTTTACAGGATTTTTTTATATCTACTTATAGTACATACATAAATCTCACATTACTTTATTTGATTGTATTTGCAGACTGTTCCGGGATATGATGTTGCTGGTGTGGTAGTGAAGGTGGGAAGGCAAGTGAAGAAATTGAAGGTGGGTGATGAGGTCTATGGGGACATCAATGAGAATGGTCTTGAAAACCCAAAACAGTTTGGCACTTTAGCCGAATACACCGCTGCAGAAGAGAGAGTGTTGGCTCTGAAACCAAAGAATCTGAGTTTTGTAGAAGCTGCTAGCCTTCCTATGGCTGTTGGGACTGCCTATGAAGGCCTCGAACGAGCTCAACTTTCTGATGGGAAATCTCTTCTTGTTCTAGGAGGTGCTGGTGGTGTTGGAACTCAGGTTATCCAGGTACATAAATATATAGGTATTTAGTTACTTGCATACTTTACCATGATCCGTTACGACCTTTGTCAACCTGAACCAGCTAGCAAAACACGTTTTTGGGGCGTCCAAAGTGGCGGCCACTTCAAGCATGGGAAAATTGGAGTTTCTGAGGAGCTTGGGTGCTGATTTGGCTATTGATTACACAAAGGAGAATGTTGAAGACATTGAGGAGAAGTTTGATGTGGTATATGATGCAGTTGGTGCGTTTACATATATACTTGACCTGTAATTTTTAGGTAGACAGATTATGCTACAATACGTGCCATATGATGGTTTCTGTTGATCATATGTTTGCATAACAAACGCAGGGCAATCTGAGAGGGCGGTGAAGGCCGCGAAAGATGGCGGTAAGATTGTGACAATAGTAGTTGGTCCTGTAACTCCACCAGCATTCACATTTGTTCTCAATTCAACTGGGTCTATTTTGGAGAAGCTAAAGCCTTACTTGGAGAGTGGGAAGGTGAAGCCAGTTATCGACTCCAAGGGCCAATTCCCATTTGCTAAGATCGTTGAGGCGTTTTCTTATCTCGAGACCTCCAGAGCTAGTGGGAAGGTTGTGGTGTATCCCATACCATAAGTTGAAGGCAATCGGATTTGATGACTAATAAATAGACTTGTAAACTCCTTGTTTTTTTCTCTTTTAAGTGAAAGGTTTCAGGTTTATGCATCTTTCCAGTAGTATATTCAAAATGTATTTTCTTTTTAATGTTTGATGTGATTCTGGAATTAATAATGCTCTTGATCGCTTTTTTAAGCATTTTGCAATAGTATACAACAGAAGAAATACAAAACTTCTTGGCAAATATATGAAATATGAGACAGGAAATTTGAAGATTCAATAGAGAATTATAACTAGCCGTGATCCACAAGTAACACAAACTGATATATGTACATCAAAATGTTTCTCGAGCAGAACCACTTCTAAAGAATTCATCATAGCTATTAGCTCAGTAAAGGATACAAAATATGTTTTTTTTTTTTTCTAGGTGGCTTGAAGAAAAATCGTATAGTTGTTGTAATAGGTAGACACCGACAGTGGTAATTACGAAGCTTTTGAAGTACATAGGATGTAGCCAGAGACAATAGAGCTCCAAGCAAGAGCAACAAATGCAGCAAAGGACAATCCCACCGATGCTCGGGCCATATCCGGGAACTTGTCTTTCCCCCAATTGGACTGCCAGTCATCGACTCGAGTTGCAGCCGACGAAGATGCCGACATCAGAAGATAAGAAAGTATCTGCCGTTAAAAACCAGACCCTTGTTAGCGTATGAGTTTAAATTTTCTGCACGCATATTCAGTCATCATGAAATTGGAAACAGCCTTTTAGAAACATCAAATATCAATCTGCATCAAGATTTCATGCAACACTAGCCACTAAAGAATGGTGAGTTTTGCAAAGAACATGCCGTACACCAACCAAAACCATCAAATGAAAAATGGCATTTTTTTATGTGTAGCATCTAAGTACAACAGAACATAACACTTTGTCCACACAAAAAAAAACATTCTAAAGTTGCATATTTCTTAAGCTTATTTCAAGAATACAAAAGGAAAAGAATTGTGTTCTTTGGCTTTTGGAATCACACTTTTTTGAAAAGTTCTGTTGGCTTTATAAGATAGCAGTTTCAATCCTTTGCTAAAGAGAACATAAATCAGCTGGAGAAAAACTGGAATCTTTTTGCACAATAAGAAGTGAAAATTTTTCCACGCGAAGGAACAAAATTCCAAACGGCGAAAGAAAAGGTGGAATTATTATCCGAGAAAAAAAGGTGACAAAAAGTTTGCCCAAAAAGTCAAGAGCTAAATGGTCCAGGATAATCAGTTTAAGCAATTGCGTGAGCAACAAAATTTCACTGGTTGCACACTAAATTATAGAGAACCCTACACATTTGCTTTAGAGGACAATACATTGGTGAGTGGTCCCCATCACAAGATCATCATAAAGACAACTAATAAATAGTATATCATGGCCAGATCAGAACAAAGGGCAGGGATGTGGACAAAAGCAAATGGCCATGGTTAGGTACAATAATAAATTTAAAAAATTATTAAAAAAAAAAAAGATGAGTTGCCTGATCCATGAAGAAATCAAAGTAATTTCGGATCTGGTGGTCGATTAAGTGTCTCGATGAGGTGAGAAAATGAATCAGATCAAACACTTGCAACCCTGAATATGCAAACCCTGCCACATTCACTCCAAAGCAGTATCTGCAAAGCAAATTCACTCCAAAATAGTATTAGAAATACCTAACAAATAATAGTTGAAAAAACGAAAAAAAAAAAAGGCTTTTGCTTTATACTTGCATGTAACATCTATAAAGATGAAAATGTAACATTATATTCATCCGATCTAACACTGATATAAATAACATCAAGAGTTGCCCAATAGTATGATTATATCTCTACAGTGTTAATATTACAAATAAATATTATGGTACCATTTTCAATCCTATATACAAATGAAATACAATTTTTCGGGGAAAAAAAAAATAGAAAACCTGAATTCCTACAGTGGTTTCTTTTTTTTTTTTTTTTTTTTTTTACCCAGCGTGAAAGTACAGTAATAGCTGAGCTGACAAACCTGAATTCCTTGTACCGATAGAAGGAATCGAGAGCCCAGCCTTGTTCCCTATTAGCCGCCATAACAGAGAAGGAGATCAAGCAGAAGGCAAACCCAAAAACCCGAAAACCCAGCAGAAGTCTCTTCACCACACCGTGCTTTCTCGTCTTCCTCTTTCTGTCGGGCAAGTCGGGTCTCAGCTTTCGCCGGTTGAAGCTCCCAAGACCGCCGCCGCCTCCGCTGCCACTTTCTTGGACTTCCACGGGGTCCACGACGCCGTCTTGGGCCTCGGGATCCGGGGCCTTCGTCACCACCAAGGGCTCGGCGGGGAAGGCCCGGTTGGGCTGGGCCAGGGCCGACGGAGACTTCTCGGCCCGGGTGTTGTTGTTGTTGTAGTTGTCGGCCCATGAGAACCTGTTGTCTGCGGTGGCGCCATAATGGGGTTCGTCGGAGTAGGCGGCGAAATCCACCGCCGGGGAGGGGGTCATGTAGGAGCGGTTGGACTGTGGGGAGAGAGAGAACGTTGAGGGTGGCGAGTCTGGGACTGTTGTCGTGGGCTTTTCGTGATCTTGTTGTCGTTGAAGATCTTCATGAGTTTCTGCTTCTCCATCTATCTTGACTTCTCTCTCTACTTCTTCTTCTTCTGTTTCTGTGTTTACAGTCATGTCTGTTTGTTGTTTGAGAACGAGAAATGTGAGACGGAGACGAAGAACAAGGTCTGGCAAAAGAGAAGTACTGTTAAAAGACAGTTTTTTTTTCCCCTCGGAAAGACTGAAAGTGGAGTCTCGTTTGCTCCATAGTACAAACTTTATTAGTCATGTCAAGATGGGCCTTTTTTCATTTCTATGGATTGTGGTCTCTTTTCCAACGCCAAAATTTCTGTTTTAAAAAAATAAATGCCATTGGCCAAATGCCATAAGTTCATTTTGTCGATTTTAATTTAAAATTTAAATTTTATTACAGTAAAAAAATTTTAAAAATAATTACATTTAATTTTTTTATTACAATAAAAAACTCTCATTTAAAATCACATCTCAACTCAAATTAATAAACTGAACAAACCCGTACTATATTGTCATAGGGCCTAAATTGTACAAAATTTTTTTGAAAATGTAAGGATTTCAGGAAGGAAAAAGTATACAAAAATAACTCAATCATGGAGTTTTTTTTTTTTTTTTTTTTTTTGGCCACTCAAAAATGCCCCAGGTGCCCC